TGGCTCTGGGCGTGGCTGCGGTGGTGTTCGGCGTGTGCGCCAACAAGTACTACTCGGTGCTCCTCGAGGCCACCCTCCTGAGCGGCAAGCAGTTCGGTTGGTCCTTCTGGTTGAATGCAGCCGCTTCTGGACTCGCTCTCCTCACCTCCTTCATCTACATCATCGAAGGTCGCGGCAAGAGCGCTTAATCAACGGAGGTCGCGTGCGGTGGCAGAAAAAAGAAAAGCCGGCCGTCTAAATATAGCGTAGGATAATAGTACGATACGATGATGGCTCTGTATTTGGGTCGGTCAATCAAGTCTGATCATGATTGTGTTGTTGGAACTTTGAGGGTTTGTCTGCTGAAGATAATTATTATGATGTGGGTTTTTTTTATGTGGCCTACAATGTTAAAGACCTACCTACCTCCGAGGTCATTCTGTAAGACACAGCCGTAGCAGATGAAAGAGGGAGAAGAAGAATAGTCAGAAGAACAATAATGACAAGAACTAGACAAGGAGGGAAAAAAACGAAGGATGAAAAGAAGAAGGAGAAAAAGAGGAGAAAAAGAAGAAGCAGAGAAACAGGGAAAGTATCATGAGGCGATGAAAGGCGATATCTCCCTTAGAGTTCTGAGGTCACTCATTCACACTATCATTATACTTAAAAAGCTATTATTTATTTCTTGGATTGTTTTTCCAAGCAACTTGTTTTCCATTGTTTTATTACTTGAGTTTTGCATCCTCCTTTCAAAATAAGTTGTAATCTCGATCTTTTTTTTCTTCATGTTTTTGTTACTTCACATAAAGGAGCTGATGTATTAGAAGTGACTCGGACAACACTCTCTGACAAAAATGCCAGTGAAGGTTTGTTTCACTTCTGCGCTATAATTCTCTTGTCTTCAACCGAAGCAAATAAAAAAAATTTTAAGTTAGATGGCAAGCAAAAAGCAAATCAGAAAGTTGTTATTTTGTTCACTTTTTTTGTTCATTCAATACTGTTTTCATCTTGTTTTTCATATAATATATATTATTATGTTTTATTTTTTTCTTGATCTCTAAATTTGTAAACGAACAAAATGTGTTTTCTGCGGTGTTTTCTGGGTTTTCGTTACCACAAGAGAAGTACAGAAAAGTCCGATCTGTACTCCGCCCTGTTAGCGAGACAAAAAAAAGTATGCTTGTAGGAATACAGAGCAAAATTGTATCATTTTTTTGTACAATTGATTTGAAAAATATTTTTTCAAAGAATCATGGGTACTGTCTGTAATCAAGCTTTTCTGTTTTCATGTGAATTTATTTCTGATATCAAAAGTTTGGTTTTCTTTCTGATTTCAAAAGTGTGTTATAATTAATATAATGGCAAAATATAATTTCAAAAGAGGTAATCTTCTGTATTATTGTCTGTTTTGGTTTGAATTCATTACAGCCCTGCAGTTGACAAAGAGCTTTCTTAAACTCTGGTTCTAAGAAGGCTACTCAAAAGCAAAAAATGTTTCATCCCGTACTCAGAACAGCAAAGCAAAGCAAGACTCATTAACTCTGGCATTCATCTTGTATCAGACTTAATCAAGATTTCGATTATCAGATTTCTTTTCCTGCAGACTTTCCTCATTGATATATTTACAGATGTTTTCATATTGGGCTTTTTACTTTCAAATTTCTATGAATAAGTCAAAATGAAATTCTTGGAGTTTGGCGTGCGGGTTTGACATAGAAGTTAAATTTGTTATTGTTGTTTCTTTGTTTTGTTTTTTAAAGAAGCGTTTAGAAGGATTTATTAAAATTTGAATGACTACAAATCTTTGTTTTACATTCTCGTTCTTAATAACAAAACAAAAAAAAACTAACAGGTTAAAAGATGAAATCAGTTTTGAAACTGTTAACAAAAACTATACGGAAGTAAAAATTGATGAAAGAAAGAAAATAGGTCGTTGTATAAAAATGCTCTTCCTTTTTGTTTCAAGAATACTTGATACTGACAATGCACTATCCTAGTTCACAAACTTTTATTGTTGTTGTTTTGATTAATCTTGTTCTTGAAACAGATATTTTTGTTTGTGTTCTCCATCAAAAAAACGAAAAATAATACTCATTTGAGATTGAACCAGTTCGCAATATTCCAGAGCAAAGATTTTCTTTGGCAAAGATAAAGAGGATTTGTAACTCCTGAAACAAGCTTGTTTTTTAGAAAACATGGCGATAATTTAGTACAGTACAGAAAGTAAAGTTCAGAAAGATGATATGTGTGCAGTTAAATGTGATGACATCAAAAAGAAAGGAGAAGATGAAATGATAATAGAACAAGGAGAAGAGGAGGATATCAAAAGAGGAAAAGAATAGATCACTGTAAAAATGAAACGACATCGGATGATTGCATATGTACAAAAAAAGAAATCAGAGAAGGATCGAACATTCTTATCGTTAATCAATTTTCATTGTGCACGCCAGTTGGGGAAAAAAAGAATGGGGCTTAATTTGTGTAAGTGTCCCCTATGAATAAACATCATCTCTGTAAAAATGTGGTAACTGTGTCAGTGTGAGGAACTCGACAAGTAGAGGGAAATACTGTACATTGTTGTATACATAGTGTAAAATATATATCACCTCGTGGATTTCATCACTTCATTTCTCGTTTATGCTGCTTAGATTTAACTTCTATCATTTTTTCTTTTGTTTTTTCTTTGATTTCTCTACTTCATGGAGTTAACAGCGCAGCCAAAACTACAATTTCGCAGAAGTTTTTGTCGTCATTGCATCGTGTATATGTGAAGGGAAAAAAACTTTTTCTGACTTCTGAATGCGTGGAAGAAGTCTGGCGTATCATTTGGTTTGATTTGATGTCCAGTTCTGTACAAGTTTTGTTTTGTTTTTGTTAGCATTTTGAGTTGTCTGTACATTCTTTTGACCACACTGACCACACTGAGATTTTTTACTTTTTTCCAATGCTTTTCTTCTGTAGCGTCATTATTATATTTTTTATAATTTTTTTTTTTGGTTTCTCTTTTCTTTTGTGAGTTCACCAGAATTGCCAACTGGTCGCATTTCATCCAACATCAGTATGTTTTTGTGTGTTACGTATTTCTCACTTTCAATTCTAATTCTTTCTTTTTCCATATATATATATATGATTTTGACTCTTATTTCCAGCAGTTCAACTTGTTTCTGAACAGGTTAGCCGCTCGTGTGTAGAGTAAGTCTATAGACTTTTGTCTTAATTGAAATCTTTAGTATCGCAAGTAAATGTCACAGGACAGCACCTGCCGCAAGCTACCAACTACCAACACATTATTGTTATGAGAAATTTAGTCAAGGGCTTTGCGGCACAGACAGTCAAAATTTTCGTATTCTTAATTAAATGATGCAGAATTTTTTTTTTTAATCTGACGTTATTTCAGAAAATGTTTGCCTTAATTGATCTAATCTGAACGGATGAGATTTGTCATTGACTTGTTGTTTCCTCTTTTGTGCCAAACAAAGTTGGATGCTGAACGTACGTATACGAATGTGACGTATTATGGTGGTTTTCATCCCTTCTTTGATTACCATCAACAGCATGGTCATTTTTCATCACCTCAAAAATATGTATAACTTTTCGAAAAGAAAAACATATTATGCATGAAATTAGGAGAGGTATGATTTGCTAACACCATTGTCTGTTCATGCTGATTTAGTGTTGAAAACTTTAGAGCCGTGTTTAATTAAACAGATCAACTATATTGTACTTTATAAGAAGAAAATATGTCCAATTTGTTATGTTAGGCTTAGGTGGTGGACATTTGTGGCACGATGCACGTGGTGGAATGAGGCGCTCGTCAGTTTTGAGGTATATAGAGTTGTTGGTTTCATCTTACAGCCTGTCCATTTGCCTTGCTTTTGATGGGAAAAAATATCCTTTTATCTCGGATACAAGTCAAGATATTGACAATTGAAGGAGGTTGGGGTCTCCTGGTTTCTGAGGTAAAATTAGCGAGGAAATGGCCCCCATAGTTGAGTTATTTCCTTAGCTTGAGAGTCCATGGAAATTGAAAATGTACACCTTTTATGTCTTTGGTCAACATTTTTCAGTAAAATCCACAAAGAAATGTGTTCTTAAATGGGCAAAGAATGTGTTGAGCCAAAAAACAAAAATTCGATAAAAATTGCCAAACCTGCGGAAAAATGCCAGTATCTTGACTTTCATTATTTGACGAGCGCTTCATTTCCCCAGACTGCCTCACATTTTCTCTCTATATCTTTCTCTCTCTCTCTCTCTCTCTCTCTCTCTCTCTCTCTCTCTCTCTCTTTCTCTCTCTCTCTCTCTCTCTCTTTCTCTCTCTCTCTCTCTCTCTCTCTCTCTTTCTCTCTCTCTCTCTCTCTCTTTCTCTCTCTCTCTCTCTCTCTCTCTCTCTCTTTCTCTCTCTCTCTTTCTCTCTCTTTCTCTCTCTCCCTCTCTCTCTCTCTCTCTCTCTCTCTCTTTCTCTCTCTCCCTCTCTCTCTCTCTCTCTCTCTCTCTCTCTCTCTCTCTCTCTCTCTCTCTCTCTCTCTCTCTCTCTCTCTCTCTCTCTCTCTGTCTCTCTTTCTCTCCCCCACCCCCATACACACTATGTTTCTCTCTCTCTCCCCTTCAAGTTACAAAATATACGTGACACATCTGTTCAATATTGAAGAATTTTGCAACCTTGCACTTTTATTCATGGATTCACTTTGAAATTAATTTACACACAAACTTAAAAAAAAAAAGCTCCAAATGTTTTGCACGATTGAAAAAACTGCCAAAATGAAGTCCCTGGACACCCTTTGCTCACCCAACAACTGAACTGTCCTGCTCCAACAGTTTATATTTTTTATCAAACATGAGGTGTTGAAATTTTGGGGGAGATATTTTTGTACTATAAATATATACATTCTGACTGAGTTGTGGGGATTCTTTCTACTTCTTTCTTTTTTTTTTTTGTTTTTTTTTTTTGTTATCACTATTGCTCTACTATAATTAATTACTCTGGAACGCTGCTGTATAGTTGGACCTGTGATGATGTTGAGAATATTTTGTTTTACTTTCTGACTTGACTTATGGATTTCGGGCGGGCCCCTCGCTCGCTCGCTCGCTGCCTCGCTTCTGATGCTAAGGTGCTCATAATTAATTAGAATCTGACGAATGTCGGTCAGTCTATTGTTGTTGTTTTAAAAAAAAGAAGAAGAAGGATATGGAGATAGTTTGAAGAATTAAATCATCAATTTCTGCTCAAAGTTTTTTAGAAACGTTCCTGTTTTTAGGTAAAATGATAACTAAAATGTTGAAAGCAAATCAGACTGGAGGCTTTTTTTTTGCTCTGTTGGGGAAAAAAAATTGTGGAAAATAAGTCGTTTAAAAAAATTAACATTTTACTTTCCAGTTATCATATCTTTGATAATTTTAATGACAATCTTGAGCGTAAAAGCTTTCTCGGTTTGCAACACTGGACGAGTTTCCAAGGATCCAATCATGTACAAAGACAGTTTATCGCAAATCCTTCAGTACTATTTTTATGTTTAAAAATGATTAACAGTTTTGTGAAATTCTACCTTTTATGAGCACCTCAACTATAGAAGCTGAAGTATCCGCCGTAAAAAAAGCCCTGTTACTGTCTTAAGATTATCTTTTTGAAATATTTTGACCTGAAAAAAACCTCATTTACGAGTTGTTTTGTTGGTATAATAATATTTCAAAATTGTTTGATACTCTGATTTGTTTTAAAACTACTATTTTCAGCACCGAAGAATGATGTGTGTGTTGTATATACATGTAGTATGATGCTGATTTATGCGATAACAAAAGTTCAACTAATGCATGCATTTCCATGAGGTCACCTGCAAGCACACAGGAATACATGAGCAGACTCAGCAGGGATTGTCGAGGAACTTTTCGTCTAGTGGTCAGCCAGATACAATCGTAGTTCAAGGGGGTGACTGCCGGCGTTATGGCTACTTTATGGGAAAATCTTTATAGATTTAACTCGTTAAGCAACAGTTTAACAGTTCTATTGCTAAATTTAGTCAAATTAATTGTTGTAACAAAATAGTTTGGAATGATCAACAGTTATCTTTTACGATAGATACGCTAGATAATGTTCCATTATTATTTTCTACAACTTGAATAGGCATATTATTACATCAGAATTGATTGGGTTTTCTGTCTTAAAAATTAAAGAAGCTTCATTTAAGAAGTTGTCTGAGAAAACATCAGAACTTTGTAAATAAGTTGATGATATAATTGGGCAAGGGAAAAAAAAAAAAAGTTGACTCAATTCAAAGTTACAACATCAGTCTCGCTCCAGGTTTCAATAATGTAGATCTAATGTCTGCGACTTTCTTTAAATAAAAACCTGTGTCTGCGGTGTACTGGTTAGGCTTTTCGCCGTGCATTGCACCCAGAAGACACGAGATCATTTTCTCTGCTCCTAAAAGTCTGGGGGGGGGGGGATTTCGTCGAGTATCTCAGTCTGTTTGCTGCGATGTTGTGTCTCACTCAACTCTGACTCGGGTCGACCCCTACGACAAGCAACCTGCTTCCCAAATGATCTAAATTGTGTTGGGAAAACCCCGACAGGTATAGATTCCATAGACTGACTTTCCTTTATTGCCTTTAAATCCTTTTTATGGATAGGCGGCATTTATTTTGAGAAAATTGACACTAAGAATTGATAATATAATTATAGAGACTGATTTTGTTTAAATGCCTTAAAATCTTTATATTATATAGGTAGGCATATATCCTTATTTATATATATTTATATATATAGAGAGAGATAGAGAGAGATAGGCATATTTTGAGAAAGGGACACTGAGATAATATTTTATGTTGAGACTGAATTGCCTTTAACTTTAAATCCCTCTGGATAGGCATATTTTGAGAAAGTGGACACAAAGACAATTCTACTATTATGTCTATCTTACTGGATCGTACAACTTTAAAAAGAAAGAAGCAGGCCTACCCATTTTAACACCTTTTCAGAAACAATAACAGGTTTTTTTAAATCCAACGAAAGCTTTAGTAAATTAAATTACTATAAATAAATTATATAGAAGAGGTTTGAAAGAGAGGAAAGTAATGTAATTATTCTATGCCTTGAACTGACCAAGATGGGGATGGGGGGATGGCAGGTGCCTCTGATTTGATCCATGTCTATTTGTGTGTCTTTGTGTGTGTGTGCAGTGACCTTATGCGTCCTCTTCCTGTTTGTTTTTTCGAATGGCAATACTATCTATCGTTCTTACTACGACTCTCAATAGATTTTTTTTTCACTAACATCGATTATATTGTGTGCTTTTTTATGGCTTATGTGTGTTAATTGTGTGTGTGTACATGTGCGTGCGTGTGTGTGTGTACAT